AACCTGTGTTTTAACCTTCAAAACCACCCTTTGTTACTTTTGTTTACTTGCTTTCCGTTGCAATTTCAGTTTGTTCATTTCTTTCTATAATCACAAGCATTCTCACTTCAAAGTTCATTTTAATCTTGCTGCATTTGTTTTCAAACTCACTCTTGCTTTAAATAGATTTAACTTCCTAACTTCTTGAATTCGGTAATCTAAAGTACATAACTAATTTGAACTTCTCAGTCTTCGTGGGTACGACCTCGTACTTGTCTTGCTATACTACTAATTGCCCCGTACAATTGCGAGTTAACATATTATTAACAACATATACAAGCCACGCCTTTCGCTGCTATCGTCTATGGTGGGAATTATGAGCATAGTAATCTGCTTGTGACATGATTTGATGTGCTACTTCTTGCGATCTAAAGCGACTGATTGCCAATGCTTGCAAACGCACTAAATCGGATATAGTCAGAGATTGGGATCAACTTTTCTATAATCAAATCCAGAATGTTGCTTGGAAGCCATGCCCAGCCTGAAACTAAGGTTGGGGCATCTTCCATTGTGCTACATTTAACTTATTTAGGTGGCTAGCTTGGAATTGGTTTTCATTGACAATTTATGAGGAATCAAGAGGCTTTCCTTAGGCTACAGTTCCTCAGGCATGAGCATTGGTGAGCTGTCCTCCCCAGTTATGACATTGGTGTTGAGAATTAAGCTGCATACTAGGCTCGAATCAAGCTGCAGATGACAATCCTGCAGATTGATGAAGAAAAGAATGAAGAATTGAAGAACCTTCTATTTTTAGAAATAGCCGTTAGTTGTTCTATCCAACGGCTAGTTTCTTTTTTATTTTAGGAAACTCTACAGCTGTCATTCTTAACTATCTGAGTCTGTACCTTGATAACCAATTCTCGCCTAGGTGTCAGGATCGTAGCCTCCAATGACCACTGTATGGCTGGAGATGAGTCCTTGCTACCTAGAATTTAGGATCTATGTTTTGGCAGTATGTGTCATGCATATAGGCATGTTTTTGGCTCGGTCATAATACAGAGAAATATACTGAACGTTCTTATTTTCTCTGAGTTTTCTCTCCAGCATACGTTGCTAACAAAAGGTTTTGTTTGTTCTGATAAATCAATCAAAACCAGAAAGTTTTATACCAAAAACCAACATGGTATCAGAGCTCCTGGTCTGATTTCAGAGAGGGGCGTGAGCTGTGAGAAGGAGGGGTTTCCTAAGAAATTCCTAAGAAAAGGGATAAAGGTTACTCTTTTAGTGTTTTGACTCACTCAAAATGGCGGGTTCAGGTTCTTCAGGTGGAGATTTAAGAACTCCATAGTTTGATGGTGCAAACTATGATTTTTGGTCAGTCAAAATGGAAACTATTCTCATAGCATATGATCTATGGGATGTAGTGGAGGTTGGAGTACTACCACAATCGATTCTTGAGGAGGAAGAAGGCTCTGGAGATGAAGAGAGTGAAGCTGAGCAAATTCCAGTGGAAGCACCTACCATTTCCAAAGAAGATAAGATCAAAAATGCCAAGGCATTGAG